AGAATAAAACAGTTGTTTGATCTTCCAGTATATTCACAGGTGTCGAATTTAAGGGGGGGGGGCAGGAGTGACCGCGTCGGTTTCCCCGGGGTTTCCAAAAAACAGACGTAGAATCCACAGATTTTATTTGGACGTTTTCTTCTTTAAAATCACTAAAATTTAGTATTTTTAATTACAGGAAACGGGGAAAATATTTTAGGACCTAATTTTGTTTTTAATGATGGGGGCCTCCACGACTGTAAATGTGACCCTGATGTTGGATGCAAAATTATGGTCGTAACAGATGCAACTGTGTGGAAACGCATGAAACCAGAACAAATATACACACTCTCCGGTTTAATAGGTGTAAGGGCTGCAGGGCTGCCAACTTTGGCGCCTGTCTCATTCCAGTTGGATAACTTGCCGACGTGGGTTAGCCACTTGCTAGCGGTCGCTGATAAATTTCTCAATATGCGACATCCGATGTCAGGAGTTCTGGTTGAGGAACATTGTCAGTAACGCTAGAACATGACATGGCACCAGTATCTGTGAACATATTTCATGCTACTCCTGGAAACATCTGGGAGAGCCTCTATGCAGTCTCTGAAACTCCCTTTAGGCTATGTCCTCATTACTTACGCTTAACAGGTTGGTGTACAGGTTTGTATTCGAGACATGCTCCGTTCGAATCTCAATGGGGACACTGGCTATCCTGATTGAGGGTTTTGTGGTTTTACTCAGTCCCTCACTCGCACTCATGTACCTGAGTCCTTCTTGAGAAGCCGCCAGTTGTGCAGCTACTCAAGATTTTTCCAACATTTTAAGGAACCCGAATGTTCATTACAGTTTTCACAAGAGTCATCCACTGGTCCCTATCCTGAGCCAGATCAATCCAATCCCTACCATACCATCATATCTAAGATCAATTACAATATTGTCCACCCACCTACGCCTTGGTCTTCCCAGAGGTCTCTTTCCATCTGGCTTTCCCACCAGTATCCTACATGTTTCCCTTTTCTCCCCATTTGTGCTACAAGCCATGCTCAACTTATCCTCCTGGGCTTGATCATTCTAATTATACTTTGAGAAGAGTACAAGTTATGAAACTCCTCGGTATGCAGTGGTTTTACTCAGTCCCTCAAGGAAAACGCTGGGATAGTGCCATAATAAGATCATGGCCACATCATTCCAAATTCATTCCGGTTCGTCATTCATAACCATCCTTAATTAAAAAATCCATTGACTTCATCGGAATTCGAACCTGCGACCTTGTTGCTTGTAGTATAATGCTTCAACGCACTACACTACGGCATGTCCCCATGTTATGCAAAGTTGGCTGTGTTTTGTTTTGTATGGCTGCACGGTTCGGCTTTTTCATGCAACAAAACATATAGACGCTACCGAGATGACTTGGAAAGTCAGTAAGTCACCAGACCTCACCTTTCAAGGGTAGGTTTTATTTGACCTCTTTAATAATGATAACGCCGGTCACAGTAGCCGAGTGGTCTAAGACATGCACTGTCTTCGCTCGCTTGGAAACCTGGATCGTGGGTTTGAATCCCACTCAGGGCATGGATGTTTAGTTTGTGTATGTGTGCGTTTTTCTGTGTTTGTGTACAGGTAGAGGCCTTGCAGCGAGCTGATCACCCGCCCAAGGAGTCCTACCGAATGTGTAAGATCTAGAAAAACCGAAGTGAACGGAGTTCATGGAGGTAGGCCTAGGCCCATTGGGGGCTGTAGTGCCAAGGAAAAAAAATAATGATAACTTTGTGATAGCTCCTTGAATATCGTCACGAGATTGAGTGGACCCCATTCCAGACCCACTACTTCTCAGAAAATCTGGTAGCTCCGGGAATCGAACGCGGTATCTCTGGATCTCTAACAAGGAACTCTGACAAATAGACCATAGTGGCGGTCACATGGTGTCGCGCCTCATAAAATTTAGTATTCAGAGAGCGGGGAGTTTAAGTCGTGTCTTATAACTTGATAAGAAGGTTTTAGAGAAATGAAATCTGTCAGAAGTGACGTCATGGCGCTTCTAATTTAAAGTTTTGACGTGAGTGTGGGCTGGAATGTGCAGTCTCTAAACACGGTTCTTCCATAGGCATATGGGCACATGAGAAGCAGCTCTCGACTGAAATGTGTAATTGATTTCTGTACCGCATTTGGTATACACTGTTGATGGGCTGCAGAATACAATTTGTTTGGCAATATATGTTTGATAGAAGAACTCACACACAGATCGTGATTCCTCGCGGTATCGCCATGTTGTGACGTCATAACCATGGAGTAAGGTTCAATACGTGAGTGGAACGGGCGCTTGTTGTGTATATAAACGTTGTATTACTGCTGGCTATATGTGTAATTTTCTAAAGTAAATTTGACGTGAAATGTTACAGCTGTGTGTCTCTCCCATGCTGTTACTGTAAAGCAGGGTTGCCAACCGAAATATGATTTATAGTCGCGATAATTGCAGTGGGTGGGAAATAAAAAGCATCAGCCGTGCGTCGTCGTTGTAGGGCGCCATTCATAAAGTCAGATGAAGACGTTTTGAAGTATTCCATCTTGTAAATTATACTGCTGGAGAAATTCTTAATACTCAGAACAGAATAAATGTTCTTTTAATGTTGTATCGTTGTGCTTTTAGTTGTGTCTTGCCGACGTCATTGGCAGTGTTCCTGCAAAGAAGATGCATGTCCTCAGGACACTGGCTGTGTATAACATCTACAGCTTAAATTACTCCCATATTTTGTGCCCAGAATTTCGTTTTGGAGACGCAGAAGAGATGTTTAAAAATTATTTAAAAGAATCAGGAGTCGGGTAGCTCAGTCGATATGGCGACGGGCTATTGGCCGGGGTTTGATTCCCGGCAGGGATAAGATGTATTTTTCTACTCTGCAGCGTCCAGAGAGCTGTGGGGCCCACCCGACCTCGTATCCAATGGGTACGTGGGCCCTTTCCCCGTGGCAGGGGTGGAAAGTGCCGAGGTCAAGAATAGTGGAGCTGTACCTCCATTCCCCCTCATTAGACGGAGGACTGTTGTCATGTTCAAGGCGTGGCCGCTTTACTCAGTGGAAGGGAGCCCGCAGCACCAGTTGGGTAGGAGGCTGGGTGGGCCCCACAGCCGGTTGAGCGGTGTGTAGAAGATAAAAACCTCCATCCCTTCCGGGAATCGAACCCCAGTTCCGCGGCCGTCCAGCCCGTAATCTACTAACTGTGAGGTGCACTTATTGCTAAGGATTGCCTTGTCGCGTTGAGCTTAATTTGTTACCCAGTGCCTTAAATCAGTCATAGGCAAACTACGGCCCGCGGGCAGGATCAGCAAGTGAGAGCTTGTACGACCCGCGGAACTCTTGTAAAAATTTCATGTAATTATATCGACTTGTTTTTAAGTTTCTCAAAGTAGTGATGTGTGTTGTTCCATAGGAACATCACCTGAAATAAGCCGCCTTTGTTTCAGGCGATATTTACAGTAGTGGATATTTGTTCCGCTTATTCTAGAATAAATTATACTTAAAATATGTGGTTGATGTCTTTTCGGCCTCTCGAAACACTTGCAACCCCGTAATTCGATCGGCTATAAAGTTTGCCCACCTCTGAATAGAATACTGTATAAAAGGTAAAGTAAATCTATTCCTGTAACAGGCCGTGGAGGCCCATAGGGTTGTGAGACCTCGAGGCTCCCACATTTTCTATAGACAGGCGACTCACAGATGGCGGTAAGATTGCCAGCCTTACGCGCCGGCCGCCCTTTACTCCCAGGAAGATTCCTGGTACTCATTTCTGTTAGAGGCTGAGTCGAACCCAGGGACATAGTGCGCCTGGAAGGATTAGCTCAATTGAAAAAATCCACTTCACTGGGAATCGAACCCGCGACCTTCCGATTTGTAGCATAATGCCTCAACCAACTACACAACCGCGTGCCCCACTATGTATGAGAGTGGTGGAAGTGAGATAGACTATATTTTTGGGGGGGGGGCAAGATAATGTTTTTAACGTTCCCAGGCATTTGACCTTCTGGTAGAGGTACGTTTGGGGGAAGGTAAAGCTTTAGGAAGTGAAGACGGTAAAGGGTTAGAATGTGGACTTTGTTATTACTAGAGGAGAGAAGTTGAGCCGGGGCTCTACTGCATGTGAGGAAACTAATTTTTTATACCGACGATGGAAGAGCTTCATTATAATGAAATTTTATTTTACATGTGGGGAGCTGCGTAATTTGGTAATTTCAGAAACATACGTCCGCAATACAGGGGTCTATGTCGGGGTTTCGTCATCTAATACGGAAGTTGTGTCTAGGGACTACTAGTGTTCTAGGTTTGCAGATGTTTCACGTGCGTTGATATGATCTCGCATTTCATATCTGTTGTACGAATCTTTAGAAACACCCAGTGTTTAAATTGTAGTAGTTATTTTCCATCACGGAGACACTTGTCGGCTATTCATCAACCGCGTCACACTTTGCACCTGTCTTGCGCGTCCGGACCTCACAGAGAACACCACACACGATCTCCTTGCTTGTGAGACGTGCCTCGACTTGCATGGCATTCCGCTAGCTGCATGACAGATTGCCGTGCTCGGTGTCACGTGATGGCGCTGACGCATTCTCCACTGAAGATGCGTATGCCCCAGAATGCCTTCTGTTCCTCTTTACTGCCGTCCATTTCCTCTTCTCTTATCCTGCTTATAATTTTTCTCTACTTTATTACCTGTACTCATCTGCTTTTCTTCATCTTCTTATTGTCATTCTGTCCTCATTCTTGTCTTCATATGCTCTTCTCCCTTCTTACCCTCCTTCTATTATTCCTATCCTCCTTCACTTCGTAGACTGTCTCCTCTCTCTTACTCTCTCGTTCTCCTGTTCTTCATTTCCTCTTCCTTCCCTCGCTCCACTGTTCTTCCTTTCTTCCTCCTGCCCTCGTTCTCCTGTTCCTCCTTCACTCGTTCTCCTGCTCTTCTTTTCCCCTTCCATCGTTCTCATGATTTTCCTTTCATTCTCCACTTGTTCTTCTTTTCTTCCTTGCCTCGTTCTCCTGTTCTTCCTTTCATCCTCCCTTCGTTCTCCTGTTCTTCCTTTCCTCCCTCCCTCGTTCTCCTTTCCTTTCTTCCCTCGTTCTCCTATTCTTCCTTTCATCCTTCCCTCGTTCTCCTGTTCTTCATTTCCTCCTTCCCTCGTTCTCCTGTTCTTCCTTTCCTCCCTCCCTCGTTCTCCTTTTCTTTCTTCCCTCATTCTCCTGTTCTTCCTTTCATCCTTCCCTCGTTCTCCTGTTTTTCTACTCCTCCTTCCCTCGTTCTCCTGTTTTTCTACTCCTCCTTCCCTCGTTCTCCTGTTCTTCATTTCCTCCTTCCCTCGTTCTCCTGTTCTACATTTCCTCCTCCTCCCCCTTCTTCACCTTCCTCTCTTTCTCCTCCTATTACCTTACTTCTCTTCTCGTCACTCTGTTTCTCTCTCAGATACGAACGCAAAGAAATGTGCTCCACAGAGCTCTGCCCGTCTTGACAGTCCTGTAGTCAGGGAAACGTGCTACCCGTCTGTCGGAGCCTTCTTGTGATCCTGAATTATGTTTCTGGATGTGACAGCCGAGCGCAGCTCCCACCAGAAGCTGGATCACAGATAAGAGCCGAGCATGATGTACAGCCACCCCGATCCTCCGTGTACTTCTATTTTGTTACGACTTTTTGAATGTTCGGGCCCACTACGATAATTACTCCTCTTGTCACGTGGATCTATCTGTGTTTTATACAGCCAGCAGTACATCAACGTAAGGCGGCCTGTTTCATTATATTATAGCTTTGTGTTATACGCCGTACAGCCTGATGCAAAGGAAGTGATGTACGTAAAAGTGTCCCCTTTCAGGACGGAGAGTTCGGCTGAAGCCGATCACAGTGGCTGGCCGCGCGGTCTAGAGCATGAACCGTCTTCGCCCGCTCACACAGTAGGAACGTGGGTTCGACATGGATGTCTGTTGTGTGCGTTTATTCTGTGTGTAGGTAGCGGCCTTGCGACGGCCTGCTCCCCCGTCTAAGGAGTCCTATCGACTGTATAGGATTAAGAAACTGGGAAATCAGCCAAAGTCCACAAGGGCTGTATAGTCATGTATGGGAGGGCGGGCGGAAGCTGCTTAGGGTGTAAGGGGGCCCATACACTTACGAGTCTGGCTCGCGAGACCGACTCTGCTCCGGTTCCAATGAGCCAAACTCGTCCTTGTGTGGGTCGCCACGCTCATACGTGTGTGGTGAAATTAATCCGAGCCCGGCTCCTCGCCGAACCGGACTCGCGAGCCAGACTCGTACGTGTATGGGCCGTCTAAAAGGTAAACAAGTTAGGAAATGAAGAGATCTGTCTCATCTGNAAGTGGCAATCAGAGACTCTCGACCGACTACACGGAATTTTATCTTTGAAGATAGAACTCTTCATAACTAACGCTGTGATAACCTCAAATCATACAAATTAGGAAATTCACGTCCACAGAATTCCCAGCGTTTGCGCTCGCTAGCGGAGGAAAATGTAAACAGGTTATGAAATGTTGGGTTTGAGGCTGTGACATCGGCTAATGTCAAGGGACGCTATGTAGTACGATACAAATTCATGGCGAAGTTCCTTCCGTTTCAAGAGGATAAAGTACCACGTCACTTCATTAAAATTATCATGTTATTTCCTAGGCTACATAAAGGATAAAATTGCCTCTATGCTTAATTAATTAAGGTCTGTGCCCTGAAGACATATGAGGGAGTGGAGGTATAGCTCCACCATTCTTAACCTCGGCACTAGGTGGAGGTGAGTGGTCACCTTCACGCACCGACCGCTTTACCCCCAGGGAAATCGTCCCTGGTACCAATTGGATAGGAGACTAGGTTGGCCCCAGAGGTTGTCTGAACGCTGTGGAGTAGAGAAACATCTTGCTTCTGACGGGATTCGAACTCCGTCCAACCAGTCCTTATCCCCTTACTATACTGACTGAGCTATCCTTATTGCCGTAGGCGAGATAATGATAATCTTCTTTATTTTGGCAGTAATATAAGGCCTAGTCGTACAGGGAAGGGGTGCCATTGTGTTGTGGGTAAGAGTGTACTTCTATTGAAATTGTACAGGCGCCACGTTTAGTGCAAGTGTACCGGTGTGTCTCAGATACCAATCTCTTGCGTAATCATGGCAGTCACATTGCTGAAATTCCCTAGCATTCATTAAAGGCAGTTACGTCGTCTGATTATTTACTATTATGTGTTGTTTTGTTGATTTACAGCGTCAGTGTTGTTTCGCTTTCCCATGTGCCTGGCATGTACGCGAAATCAGTGTGNCCCCGTCTAAGGAGTCCTATCGACTGTATAGGATTAAGAAACTGGGAAATCAGCCAAAGTCCACAAGGGCTGTATAGTCATGTATGGGAGGGCGGGCGGAAGCTGCTTAGGGTGTAAGGGGGCCCATACACTTACGAGTCTGGCTCGCGAGACCGACTCTGCTCCGGTTCCAATGAGCCAAACTCGTCCTTGTGTGGGTCGCCACGCTCATACGTGTGTGGTGAAATTAATCCGAGCCCGGCTCCTCGCCGAACCGGACTCGCGAGCCAGACTCGTACGTGTATGGGCCGTCTAAAAGGTAAACAAGTTAGGAAATGAAGAGATCTGTCTCATCTGGGATAAAACGCCATGTAGTTCGTTGGAAGTCAACCAGCATTTCGGAGGAACATGTCGCATCCATCTTCAGGGTCGGAAATATGAGCCGACCAAGTGACCCTGGTAAAATCAAGTGGAAATCAGAGACTCTCGACCGAATACACGGAATTTTATTTTTGAAGATAGAACTCTTCGTAACTAGCGCTGTGATAACCTCAAATCATACAAATTAGAAAATTCACATGCACAAAATTCCCAGCGGTTGCGCTCGCAAACGGAGGAAAATGTAAACAGGTTATGAAATTTTGGGTTTGAGGCTGTGACATCGGCGAATGTCAAGGGACGCTATGTAGCACGATACAAAATCATGGCGAAGTTCCTTCCGTTTCAAGAGGATAAATTACCACGTCACTTCATTAAAATCATCGTGTTATTTCCTAGGCTACATAAAAGGTAAAATTAATTAATTAAGGTCTGTGCCCTGAAGACATAAGGGAGTGGAGGTATAGCTCCACCATTCTTAACCTCGGCACTAGGTGGAGGTGAGTGGTCACCTTCACGCACCGACCGCTTTACACCCAGGGAAATCGTCCCTGGTACCAATTGGATAGGAGTCTAGGTTGGCCCCAGAGGTTGTCTGAACGCTGTGGAGTAGAGAAACATCTTGCTTCTGACGGGATTCGAACTCCGTCCATCCAGTCCTTATCCCCTTACTATACTGACTGAGCTATCCTTATTGCCGTAGGCGAGATAATGATAATAATCTTTATTTTGGCAGTAATATAAGGCCTAGTCGTACAAGGAAGGGGTGCCATTGTGTTGTGGGTAAGAGTGTACTTCTATTGAAATTGTACAGGCGCCACGTTCAGTGCAAGTGTACCGGTGTGTCTCAGATACCAATCTCTTGCGTAATCATGGCAGTCACATTGCTGAAATTCCCTAGCATTCATTAAAGGCAGTTACGTCGTCTGATTATTTACTATTATGTGTTGTTTTGTTGATTTACAGCGTCAGTGTTGTTTCGCTTTCCCATGTGCCTGGCATGTANATAGAGTTGAGAGGACAGATTCACGCCCCGACCGCTTCACCCCCGGGGAAAAAGTACCCGGTACCCATTGGATGGGAGGTTGGGTACCTCTGGCCCCTGAACGGATGTTTATCTGCTGTAGGTGGTTGCCTAGTGAATAAGAACATAAGTAGGTACTCTTCAGGTGGACCGTAAAAAATGATTTTCACGAAAATGGCTGTAACGATTTTGATTAAATTTCAGTAACATGTGGACATTATCTGAATCTGTGGTATATTCGCCGATCGCAGTGGACGCGCGGTCTGAGGCGTGAACCTTTTTCGTCCGCTCGAATACTGGGATCGTGGGTTCGAATCCCACACAAGGCATGGATGTTTGTGTGAGTTTATTCTGTGTTGGTGATATTCTGTATGTAGGTAACCACCTTGCGACGGTCTGATGTTGTCGTGTTTGTTCCATACGTCACTCTTATTCTGACCTCTTCTTTATCATTCAGAGCAGGTTACAGTTGCTTGGCAACCACAGAACAGGAGTGGAACGTATGACAAAAGAAACTTCAATATACAGAGGGCCAGTTAGCGGATGTATTACCGGACCGTTAGACGAGAAGACGGATGTTTCATTACCATCATATTGATAGACACGGACAGACAATATCCCCGTGAAATTCCCACGTGGGAGTCGATATGACTGTCAGTCATGTAGCGGTAGCTTCTGGGATATATTGCCTTGTAGTCCGTTGACAGTCAACCGACGTTTCGGGAAAAAAGTTGTTGCCTCAAATTTCAGTGTCGAAGGACGGTAAAAAGAAACGTGAAATTCTGCTTGTGGTTAATTAATCACTATGCTATGAAGACATGTGGGAATGGAGGTATAAGTCCACCATTGTTGGCCAGTTTCACGCACCGGCCGCTCTATCCCCGGAGAAAGAAGCTCTGATACCCTTTGTATATGACTCTGGGTGGGCCCCAGAGCCGTTTTGGATACTGTGGAGAAAAGAAAATCCTTGCCCCAGTCGGAAATCGAATCACGATCATCCAGCCCGTATCCCGTCGCCATACTGACTGAGTTATCCCGACTCCACCGTGAAAAAGGTAGCAAGCAGAACATTTTGTATATAAGGTAAATTGATAGCCTCTGTGGTCTAGTGGTTAAGAGTTCCTGGCTACAGATCTGGAGGTCCCGGATTCGATTCCCGGCGCTACCAGATTTTCTGAGAATTATTGGGTCTGGAACGAAGGCCAGTCAGCCTCGTGAGGATAATTGAGGAGTTGTTTCAAGGAAATAGCTGCTCCGGTCAGAAATTCGATATTAACGGCAGGCGGGATTCGTTGCGCTGACCACGCGACACCCTCTATCCGCAAAAGTTGGCACTAACTTCGCCGACAAACGGCGGTCGAGTCGTTATAGTTCGCTTGCGGACTACAGGCCACGGGATTTGTTGATCAAGGTGTGACACACCGTCAGAGATGCTGTGATGAGTGGAATTTTTGCAGATGCCACGATAGTGAGTGACATTTGGATGCCATGTGTGGGCGAATGTAGGTATTCTCTGCGAGGTACGCACGCCAGTGTTTATCTGCTTCGATAGTTGCACAGTATAGTTTCGAAACAGAAGTCACCGGAAGTGAGAAGAGATTATTCTGTTCTCCCCAGCGTCCAGACCGGCTCTGAGGCTCACACAGCCTCCTCTCAAA